AAAATGTCCATAGCTAACATCTGCACATGGCTTAAATTAATTATTGAAGATGGTAAGAAAAAAAATTTTTTTAACTATCTCTAATAAAACACAAGGATAATCTATGACAAGTAACTTTGAAATAGCAAGCCAATATTGATGCTCAGTGAGAAATGGATAGGATTCATTTTCTAGGAAAATGACTGTCTCCTTTCCCCTCCCCACAAAGAACAAGACTACATTATTACAAATGAGAAAAATGTTTATTAAGAAACAATTTAGCAGCTCTCCTTTAGAATTTTACAGACTAAAGCACAACCCGAAGGCAATTACAGTTTCAATCATTAACACACCACCTAAGGTGCTTACTCTACAACTGGAAAGTTGCTGAAGTTTGTGACATGCCACTGTAAATGTAAGTATTATTAAAAATTACAAATTGTTTGGTGATTATTTTGATGACCTCTTGAGCAGCAGCTCCTGAAAGGAAAAAGGAGAAAAGCAAATCTCTGAAAAGAGTAAACTTCAAGAGTTATATAAAAATACTCAATTCTGTAAAGAAACCTTCCCTTTTCAAAAGCAAAGGTGTTTGAAAGTGATCCAAAACAGATGCAGTTAGCTTACTGAGTCATATCAACATAAAAGCCTGTAATTCTTTTTGTTATTAAAGGAAATCTAAGCAGTAGTGTGGTTGACCAAACTTTAAAGACTACACACAGGCATAAAAGATTCTCAAAGGACACCCTACTGCTGCATTTGAATTTTACCTTGTATCTGTTTTATAATAAAAAAGGAGAAAGGTGTATTTGTTCTGAATGCATTTGTGATTTAGGAAGGATCTATATTAAATATCGCCAGACTGCTATATTTACTCAAAACAAAAAAACTACTAAGAAAAAAGTTGTGCATCTTCTATAACCTGAAGATTCCTCTCTCCCAAATATTCATGGACTGGATAGAATTTTTCCTTTTTTTTTTTTTAGAGGAGTCTCACTCTGTCGCCCAGGCTGGAGTGCAGTGGCGTGATCTTGGCTCACTGCAACCTCCTCCTCCCAGGTTCAAATGATTCTCTTGCCTCAGCCTCCTGAGTAGCTGGGATTACAGGCACCTGCCACCACACCTGGCTAATTATTTTTGCATTTTTAGTAGAGATGGGGTTTCACCATGTTGGCCAGGGTGGTTTCGAACTCCTGACCTCAAGTGATGCGCCCACCTCAGCCTCCCAAAGCGGAGGCCTTACAGGCATTAGCCACTGCACTCGGCCAACTGCATAGAATTTGAGACTACTGTGCACCAAATACTGTTCTAGGCAGTAGGGTTACAGTAAGGAAAAAAGACAGAAAGAGAGAGATAATTTACAAATAAATAGAATGTGTAGTATGTCAACTGACCATAGGTGCTAAGGAGAAAAAGCAAATAAGGGGGATATAAATACAAGAGGAGGGGTTCGTCTTTTAAATAGGGGAGTCAGGGATGGCATCACAGAGAAGACAGCATTTGAATAAAACCTGAAGGAAGTGAAGGGATATAATGGCACTGTGCAAAATGATTACAGAAGGCATAGAAGTAAAAAACAAAAACAAAAACACAAAAAACCTTCAATTTATACTTTTTTCTGCTATTGGCAAGTCATCCAGTCCATCTATCCGGCTATACCTCTTCTTAGATTCTGGACTGAATCTGAATAAATAATAATTTGCCCTTTTCTGTGAATTGGCAGTTAACTTTGCTATTTTGGCACAAGAGACTACTTGGTTTTAGTTTAAAATAAATTATTCCGAATCAAGCTTTATTTTGGATTTACTTAGAAAATCATTTTCTTAGGTCTATATGATTCATTCACATTTTGAACACTTCAAATATTAATCAAACCTAAATCTGCCTTTAAAACATTCAACATCTAGAAGGAAAATGCCACAAGCAAATAGCTCATATTTTTTTGAGGGGTGTTACAGACTGAATGGTTCGTTTCCCCCTCAAATTCATGTTGAAATCCTAACCCCCAGTGTAATTGTATGAAGACAGGGCTTTTGGTAGGTGATTAGGTCAAGAGCGTAAACCTTCATGAATAGGATTAGTGCCCTAATAAGAGACCCCAGAGACTTCTCTTGCCATTTTTTTTTTCACCACGTGAGAACACAGAAGAGAGAGCTGTCTATGAACCAGGAAATGGGCACTCACCAGACCTAACCATGCTGGCACCCTGATCCCAGACTTCTAGCCTCCAGAACTCTGTGACACATTTTTGTTGTTTATAAGTCTATGATATTCTGTTACAGCAGCCCAAAGTGACTAAGACAAGGGGGAAGTAGAGTGAGGGAGGGAAGTAAGGGAGCTTCTATGAAAGACATGTCATTTTTGAGTTGGGTCTTGTGGAACATGTAGGTTTTGGACATGCAGAAAAACATATTTTTAAGGCAAATAGGTCCAGAGGAGCAAAGATCTAGGAGCAGGAAATCAAAGGGCATGCCTGGGGGGAAAGCAAGTAATATGATAAAATCAAGGCTAGAAAGGCTGAGTGGAACTAAAACACAGGGATTTTTAACATCAAGCCAAGGTCCCTGGACTTGCCTGAAGGACTGTCGTAGAGTGTATGTGTATTGGTGGGGCAGGCAGTTAGTAAAAGGACATAATCAGAGCTATGCTTTAGAGGGATTAATGACTCTTTAAGGAGTTTAAGTTGGATGGCAGTGGGAGAGATGGAAGGCAGGGAGACCAGTATAGAGGCAACTGAATAAGTATCCTAACCTGGGCAACATAGTGGAGCCCTGTCTCTACAAAAAATTGAAAAATTAGTCAGGCTCGCTGGCACATGCCTGTAGTCCCAGCTATTCAGGAGGCAGAGGCGAGAGATCACTTGAGCCCAGGAGTTGAGGTTGCAGCAAGCTATGATGGCATCAATACACTCCAACCTGGGCAAAAGAGTGAGACTGTGTCTCAAAAAAAAAAAAAAAAAAGAAATATAACATCCTGCTTCACTGACCTCCCTAATTAAAATAGCTAGACGACACAACTTCATATTAAAATAGTAACTGTACTACGTAACAACAGGTGAGTCTTCTCATATATGGAACTCACCCCCCAAGAACGCAGCAATGGTATGTGGCTCAGCAGCTCCATATCGGCAACTAGAGGAGATCACAGAGACATGAATTTTGATTAGCCTTACGACAGGTGTGGAATCATCTCCTAGATACCCTAAAAAATACTCACAATTCATGGACATAATCATCTTTCACCATTACAGATAAACCATATTCCTGAAGGAAGCCAGTGAGACAAGACTTCAACTTTCCTATATCTTCTTCAACTTGATAGTTAGATACCCCTAAAAATAAAAGTTAGTTTTCATTAAAATAAATGTGATCGAGAATTAATGGCCAATTCCTTTATTTAATCTAGTTTCAGATATTCTAGTCAAAATATGTACGAAACTGAAGAACAAAAATAACAAAGTATGAGACCAATATTTGCAAATATCACAAACCTATAATCAGAGACCAACTAAAACCTAGTAAAAATTTGAATTTAATTAAATCTTTGTTAATTGCATCATACTCACTGTCTAGAAGAGTTATCTGGCACACAGTGCTTAATAATTATTTGATAGAAGAACTTAATGAATGAGAAAGTAATGTCCTACTTATACCCTTTATAAAAGTTATTCTCCAATTCTAAAAGACTAAATGATAAATGACACTGAGGACATAAAGCTATTAATAATAGGTAACTTTTTTTTTTCTTTTGAGAGAGAATCTTGCTGTCACCTAGGCTAAAGTGCAGTGGTGCAGTCTCGGCTCACCGCAATCTCTGCCTCCCGGGTTCAAATGATTCTCATGCCTCAGCCTCCCAAGAAGCTGGGACTACAGGAGTGCGCCACCACACAGCTAATTTTTTCTATTTTTAGTTTCAGTGTTTGCTACACTGGTCTCGAACTCCTGGCCTCAAGTGATCCACCCACCTTGGCCTCCCAAAGTGCTGGGATTACAGGCATGAGCCACCATGCCTCGCCAATAATAGGTCACATTTATTGAGCATTAACAGATGCTAGACACTGTTCGAAGGACCTTATATATATATATTAATTGAATGCTCAAAACAGTCCTATGAAGTAGATATCGTTATCTCCATTCATAGAAGAGAAAACTAAGGCACAGAAAGATTAAGTTACTTAGCGCATAAGTGATGCTGTATGACTTCCAACCTAGGTCATAAAAAGCCCTGTAACTTCCACTTGGGTTTTTTCGAATGGTAACTGCAGAAGCCAACTGAGATGCTAAAAGGAAGTCCAAGCTAGCCACCTGAAGAGTGATACCTAACCAGCCCCCAGCTATTCCCACTGTTCTGACTAAGGGGCTAGTTACATGAGTAAAAATGTCTTCTTGCATGTCTAACTCAGTCAGTTAAGCCTTCAGAATGACTCCACCCCCAGGCATCAAGCAACTGCATGCCTCCTCAAGGAGAACTGCCTGAAACCAGGCAATCCACAAAATCACGACACTAATTATTGTTTTAAACCACTAAGTTTTGAAGTGGTTTGTTATGCAATAGATAACTGAAATAAATTCTAATCAAATAATACAAATAAAGCAATACATATTTGGTGTTTATTCTTTTTTGTTTCTTCTAGTTAGCTTGCTCATGAGGGCTATAAACTCTGGGCCAGGCACAGTGGCTCATGCCTGTAATCCCTGCACTTTGGGAGGCCAAGGCAGGAGGATCACTTGAGGTCAGGAGTTCAAGACCAGCCTGGCTAACATGGTGAAACCCTGTCTCTATTAAAAATACAAAAATTAGCCAGGCGAGGTGGTGGGCACCTATAATCCCAGCACTCAGGAGGCTGAGGCAGAAAAATTGTTTAAACCCAGGAGGCGGAGGTTGCAGTGAGCTGAGATCCCATCACTGCACTCCAGGCTGGGCAACAGAGAGAGACTCTGTCTCAGGGGAAAAAAAAAAAAAAAAAGACTATAAACTCTGGAGACACACTGCATCAGATGGAGCAGCAGGTTTTATGATACTCCTAGAATGTGTTGCTATGCAATAATCCTGCACAATTAAAATTATCATCCCGAAGAGAAATATTCTGAGCAACCTCAGATCTTTGAGATTATGCCAATTCTCCAATGACTACATTCACTGAAGAGAAAAAGTAGATACTAAACAAACAAATTCCTACATCTTCAGAGTTCTTGAGTTCAGAAATTACTAGCATACTTTTTTTTTTTGAGACAGAGTCTCACCACGGTCACCCAGGCTGGAGTGCAGTGGCACAATCACAACTCACTGTAGCCCCAACTTCCCAGGCTCAGGTGATCCTCCCACCTCACCCTCCCGAGTAGCTGAGTCTACAAGTGCACACCACCATGTCTGGCTAATTTTTTGTATCTTCAGTAGAGATGGGGTTCCACCATGTTGCCCATGCTGGTCTCCAACTCCTGGGCTCAAGCAATCCGCCTGAATCAGTCTCCCAAAGTGCTGGCATTACAGGTGTGAGCCACCATACTATGCCTGGCCAGCATATTTCTCGTGGCTTTCCTATTCCACTAAATTAAACTCAGTGCGAGTCTTAGTAGCAAACTATGGAGAATGACAGAAAAAAGTTTTCTTCTATATATATATTCAACCAACATTCCCCTATAATAGTTTAGAATCGAACACTATTTTGCAAATAAACTTAAAAAACAAAAGGTGGCCGGGCGCGGTGGCTCACGCCTGTAATCCCAGCACTTTGGGAGGCCAAGACAGGCGGATCACAAGGTCAGGAGATCGAGACCATCCTGGCTAACACGGTGAAACCCCGGCTCTACTAAAAAATACAAAAAACTAGCCGGGCGAGGTGGCGGGCGCCTATAGTCCCAGCTACTCGGGAGGCTGAGGCAGGAGAATGGCGTGAATCCGGGAGGCAGAGCTTGCAGTGAGCTGAGATCCGGCCACTGCACTCCAGCCTGGGTGACAGAGCGAGACTCCGTCTCAAAAAAAAAAAAAACAAAAAAAAACAAAAGGTATTTCCTCACTGGGGAACGTTTGGGGTGTAATCTGTTTACAATGTGAAATTCAAGCAACACTATTATAAATACCCTGAGAACACTTTCAATTTCAATGTTTTATTGAAGATTTATTATATCTGGTAATTCAATTGCTATTCTTACCTGGATATCTACCATGTTGTTTATTAAATCTATCAACAGCCCGTAACATTAAGTACAACACTATTTCATTATCTGGATTGTCCATGCTAGAAACTGAAAGGAAAAAAATTTCAGTTTAATTTGATTAATTTGCAATATAATAAATAATAAAGGGCTGAATTTACTATATACTTGAGTTTCAGGACTATTAGTTAGAGTCACACAATCTCTACTAAAGTAGTAACATAATGACTTTAACTCATACATATCATACAATGGACTCTGTGACCTAAATATGACTTTATACATACATTAAGTTTCATATAATATATATATAAATTATAATTACTTAGATAAGCTTAGAATAAAATTAGAATATGAATATTTACATTCTCTTTTATATCATCACCATATACTCAACACTATTTTACGCAAAATATTTATATCGTTTAATTAAAATTAACCCGGAATCAGAAGGCTATTATACTTACTAATTTCATCCTTGTTAATTGTATCCAAACCATATTCTTCTGCTAAGGATCGACATCTTACCACTCGAAGAAATGCAGAATTGCTGCCTAAACAGAAGAAAGATATTCCGGAAGTAATGACTGTGACAGGTGAATATTATGAATCACAGGTGACTTTAAGAACAGAGAATTATGTGTATACCTTTCTCAGACATGAGAATGTGAAGAAATGTTTTCTCCTTGGCTCTAATAGCAGAGAAAGCACTAGAACACAAATCACCTTAAATTCACATCCCTGGCACTACAACCAGTTCAGAAGCGAGTAAGGTGATGGCCTCTCTGAACCTCAGTTTTCAAGCGTAAAATGGGGATGATACTGTTTACCTTTGAGAATTGTTCTACAGATTAAATGTGACACCTTGTATAAAGTGCATCTCTAGCACAATGCCTGATATGGCTCTACCAATAATAGTTTTCATCATTATTATGGATAAGTAGTCCTAAAAGAGAGGTTTATGAATTGTACTCTTGATATATGTAACGACTTTTTTTAAGCTTTGTATTATTGAAATTTCCAAAAATGCCCCAAAGTAGAAGAGAATAATAAATGTTCAAGTACCTAGCATCAAACTTTCGATCTAGTAGTATATAATCTAATACAACAAATGCTAATTCAATATTAGTCTAATAGAACAAACAAGGTGCAAGATTAGTTGTGGCAGAAAACATTAAAACTGAGCCTAAACAGACATTGTGGAGAAGTCATAAAATGGAAAGCTTGGATAAATCTATTTTAAGGATGGGGAGCTTGCAAAATATAAACTTCCACAGGACGTAGGAGCAGTAGCTACAGGGAGAAATCTTCAGATGGCATGCACAACAGATTGAGTATTTTGAAACTGACTCTTAAATAAAAGAAAATGCTTTTGGCCTACTGAGGAGTTACTGAGAGACTCCTACGAACCTAACCACTCTGAAACTAGATGGCAAAATTCTTAACTCCATTACAGTCATTTAACACAGATCAAAATGAGTATTTAAACCAATATTGTCAATGTACACGTGACTCAAGATTTCACACCCAAAGTCTTCAGACAAAAAAATTTCCTAAATTACTTAATATTTAAAAACTGAAAATACTGTATTAATGGCAATTTTCAATTAACTGACCATCATGCCTTTTTAGCATTGCCACAGATAAACATGCTCTACCTCTGATTCAGTCTTAAAATACTCTCCATTTATTATGGGAGGAAAAAAAAAAAAAAACCTTACTCAATAATTATCTATATCACTGAGGCCATGGAACACTTAAAATTTCAACCATTCAAAATACCTGGGAACATTCCCTGTGGCACATTTCCATCAAGCAAAATAAGGAAATTAATTTAAGGGGACTTACAGAGTAATTTTAATTCTTTCTCTGAAATGGACTCTGGTGCCTGTAAAGAGATAAATACAGATTCTGTTCCAGTTTAAAAGACAAGATTAACAAAGGGTGCGGCACAAAGCCAATCACTGTGAGATGGGGAGGCTTTCTCCAAGAGCTGGGAGAGCACTTTAAAAATATCTTGTTTCCGGCCGGGCGCGGTAGCTCAAGCCTGTAATCCCAGCACTTTGGGAGGCTGAGACGGGCGGATCACGAGGTCAGGAGATCGAGACCATCCTGGCTAACACGGTGAAACCCCGTCTCTACTAAAAAATACAAAAAATTAGCCGGGCGTGGTGGCGGGCGCCTGTAGTCCCAGCTACTTGGGAGGCTGAGGTAGGGGAATGGTGTGTACCCGGGAGGCGGAGCTTGCAGTGAGCTGAGATCGGGCCACTGCACTCCAGCCTGGGCGACAGAGCATGACACCGTCTCAAAAAAAAAAAAAAAAAAAAAAATCTTGTTTCCTTATCACAAGCTCTCCCATTAGGCAGGCAAACGAGAGCTCCCCCTAAATAAGCAGAGCTAGTGCCACACCCTCTGTCTCTAAACCCTTTCTGGCTGGAGTTATGTGCTCAGGCCTGTATGGGCACAGTGTGCCCAGCAGCTTACCTGGCCAATGGACTGCAGCAATTTGGCAACATGATTACCCACAGCAGCAGCATCCTTCTTTGCTTTTTCACGGTAACTGAAAAAGAACAAAAAGCAATTATTAACAAATTTTTAAATTAGCAAAATTTAAATTGTTACCATGAACAAAAAATTTATTTTCTTTTCATGAAAAAACACAGGCCTGACAATGTATGAAATGTGAAAATGCCAGGGAAATGCTATCAACAGCACCTATGAGTAGCTGGGAATCTTTCCAGTGTTAATGACAGACTCTCAGTGCCCACTAAAACCCAGGGTCCCTCTAACAGCACTCAACTTAAAAACTGCCCTCCTAGAGGGATCTATGATTTAGGCTCTGTGACAGAGGACCTAAAAAATACGTTACTGAAGAACATGACTTATCTCCTGGAAGTCAAGTCCAAGGAAAGTTAAATACATTAAAACTGTTCATCTCCAGTGTAAAACTTTTGTTTTTGTTTTTTGAGACAGGATCTCGCTCTGCCGCCCAGGCTGGAGTGCAGTGGTGCAATCTTGGCTCAATGCAGCCTCAACTTCCCACACTCATATGATCCTCCCACCTCAGTCTCCCAGGTAGCTGGAAATTCAGGCGCACGCTACCACACCCGACTAATTTTTGTCTTTTTGTACAGACGGAGTTTCACCATGTTGCCCAGGCTGGTCTCGAACTCCTGGGTTCAAGTGATTTAAAAACTGAAAATACTGTATTCATGACAATTTTCAATTAACTGACCTTCATACTTTTTTAGCATTGCCACAGATAAACATGCTGTATCTCTGATTGTTTTAAAATACTCCCCATTTATTATGAGAGGAAAAAAAAACCCTTATCCAATAATTATCTATACTACTGAGACCATGGAAAATGTAAAATTTCAATCATTTAAAATACCTGTGAACATCCCCTGTGGCACATTTCACCACCTGCTTTGGCCTCCCAAAGTGCTGGGAATACAGGTGTGAGCCCCTGCACCCGGCCATAAAACTTCTTTAGGTCTATTTACCTTTCACCCTCTAAAAATCATTAGTGTTCAGGCTGACTACCTCCCACGTAAGGTCATACTTCTTTCTACCCTCAATTGACCTTCCCCAAGTTTTAAGTAGTTGAACTCTTAGGCTAGGACAACAAACCAAGAATCTTTCAATGGTGACATGATAAAGAGTGAAATCTGTCTGGGGAACAGAGATCATCTCTATGTGACATTACTTGGCCCCCAAAGAAACCAAGCCAGCAGACCTGGATTCTTTGCACCATGCCCTAACTATATGAGGGTAATATTCATTGAGATCCATCCCTATGATAGTCTATCTGGGTTCAGGCTAGTGATACCTGGATAGCAAGGTGTCTAGTTATAGACTATAAATTATGAAACATTAAGATAAAAAATTCATCAAACACGTCATGGTTTTAAGTTACAAATAGAAGGCAGTATAGGGCCATGGCTAAGAATACAGGCTCTGGTACTGGGTTTTCTGGGGTTCAAATCTTGGTTCTGCCATTTACCAGCTATCTGATCTTGTATAAGTAACCTTTTCAATACCTTAGTTTCTTCAAGTGTAAAATGGGGACAATAACAGTATCTCTCTCTCTCATAAGGTTGTTGTGAACCTTGTGTGTATATTAAATTACTTAATACACATAGTTCATAGCACAGAGTTAAGTGACCAAATATTAGGTTTATCATGAGGTAGGGAAAAAAAAACTCTGCCTCCTAGGGATATGTGGTAATTCTGTATTTCCCATTCAATTTTGCTTTGAGCCTAAAAAGAATCATCCCTAAGTTGTTTTTTTTTTTTTGAGGTGGAATTTTGCTGTCGCCAGGCTGGAGTGCAGTGGTGCGATCTCGGCTCACTGCAACCTCCACCTCCTGGGTTCAAGCGATTCCCCTGCCTCAGCCTCCCGAATAGCTGGGACTACAGGCACGCACCACCACGCCTGGCTAATTTTTTGTATTTTTTTTTTAGTAGAGACAGGGTTTCACCATGTTGGCCAGGATGGTCTTGATCTCCTGACCTCATGATCCGCCCGCCCAGCCTAAGTTTCTTTTTTTTTTTTTGAGACAGAGTCTCACTTTGTTACCCAGGTTGGAGTGCAGTGACATGATCTCGGCTCACTGCAAGCTCCACCTCCCAGGTTCACACTATTCTCCTGCCTCAGCCTCCCAAGTAGCTGGGACTACAGGCGCCCGCCACCACTCCCAGCTAATTTTTTTGGATTTTTAGTAGAGACAGGTTTTCCCATGTTAGACAGGATAGTCTTAATCTCCTGACCTTGTGATCCGCCCACCTCAGCCTCCCAAAGTGCTGGGATTACAGGCATGAGCCACTGCGCCCAGCCTGGCCTAAGTTCTTTAGCTTATTTTTACTTATTTATTTATTTGAAACAGGGTCTTGCTTTGTCACCCAGGCTGAAGTGAAGTGGCACGATCATGGCTCACTGCAGCCTCAAACTCCTGAGCTCAAGAGATCCTTCTGCCTCAGCCTCCCGAGTAGTTGAGATTAAAGGCACATGCTACCATGCCCACCTAATTTTTCAATTTGTAGAGACGGAAGTCTCACTGTTGCCCAGGATGGTCTCAAACTCCTGGACTCAAGCAATTCTCCCACCTTGGCCTCCCAAAGTGTTGGGATTACAGGCATGAGCCACTGCAGCTGGCCTAGTTTATTTATAAGCAATGAGGTTATAATAAACTTTCATTTGATTTCTGATAGGATGATAAAATGTTTATCTCTAATATAATCAGACTTTGTATACTACATAGTTTGAAAACAGTGACATACACGTTTTGCAGTTTTATATATTTGCCTGAATCTGCAATCATATCAGGGATTGTGCCTCGAACAGGTAAATTTCCTTGACCCTCTTTGGCCACAAATTCCTTTAAGGCACGAGCTAAAATCCAAAATGATGGAGTCTAAAAGAATAAGAAAAAATTAACATTAAGCGGCGTTTTACTTTGACCCAAAGGTTTAGACAGCAATGTTTTTACTTTTGTTGTTGTTACCTGTTTGGTGATATTTATGCAGCGATCATCATTAAATATATCTTCAATACTGCTTGGGATCTAACAAAGGAACATGAAACATTTACTTACACAGTATTAAGAATTTGCCCATCTTTATTTTCAGCGCTATTTCTTCAGATATATTCTTTGAATTCTCAAATTGTAATCAAATACAAACTTCTGATTTGTTTATAATTTTATTTAGAATCAGTACCATATGAAGATTTGATGGGGAAAGAAAGAATGGAAGAAAGACCTCTCCTGCCCACTGTTGCTAGCATTTAATACCTATTCTCTTATACCATAAATGGGGTAAAGAAGGGGCCCCAGTAAATGATTTTATATAGTTAAATCTGAAGACAAAACAGATTGTAGACTTGTAATATTCCATGATTTTCCATCTTGTCAAAAATTGGAAACCCTTGCACCCTAATTAGTGACCACTGAGACAACCACTCTGAAAAAAACTAAAACTATAAAGTAATTTTATTGCTAGCAAGATCTTCATACATAAATCAAGAGTATAAAGCCAAGCACGATGGCTCGCACCTATAATCCCAGCATTTAGGAGGCCAAGGTGGGAGGGTCACTTGAGCCCAGGAGTTCGAGATCAACCTAAACAAAACAGGGAGACCCTGCCTATACAAAATGTAAAAGTAAATTAGCTAGGCATGGTGGCACATGCTTGTGGTCCCAGCTACTTGGGAGGCTGAGGTGGGAGGATCACCTGAACCCAGGAGGTCAAGGCTGCAGTGAGCAGTCATTGCATCACTGCACTCTACCCTGGGCAACAATGTGAGACCCTGTCTCAAAAAAAAAAAAAAAAGTATACAAATCATAGGCTTTAATTCTACTGTTGCATGGAAAAATGAAATGTCTCAGTGGTACCTCCTAACTGGTCTCTCCGCTTCCATTCCCAGTCCCCTCAATTCTGTTCTCCTCACCAAAGCCAGAATGGTCTTTTAGAATATAAAGCAGCTCACTCCACTTCCCTGATCGAAATGCTTAAATAGCCTGTAAGACCTTTATGATCTGGTCCTTTCTGCCTCTCCAAACTCAAATCCTTCCTACCACCTTCCCCCCTTTTTCACTTCACTCCAATCACACTGACTTGCTTACTGATGCTTGAACAAAAGTCAAGCTTCCTCCCACTTCTTTGCACATGTGCTTCCTCCAACTGAAAAGCTCTTCCCCCAGACCTCTGCATGTCACTTCACTCAGGCTTCTGCTTAAACGTCCCTTGGAAAGTCTCCCTGGCTCCCTATCTAAAATTGTCTCTCAACCCCAGATTCCCTTGTCCCCAACATGCTCTCTGCCCCTTTGTTCTGCTGTAATTTTGTTCATAGCACCTGGTGCATTTTTATCTGTTTATTTAACTTACTGTCCCCCAACTATTGAACCTTTTCTTTCCAACTGTGGTTTTATATTCAGTGAAATACAGAGATTTTAAATGTCCAATTCAATGCATTTTGATAACTATATATACATATTTTTAACCATAACCCCAATTAAAACAGAAAATTTTCATCACCCCAGAAAAGTGATTCACAAAGCACATACTTTTATGGACACAGGGTCTCATATCATTGCCTAGGCTGCAATGCAGTGGCACAATCATGGCTCACTGCAGCCTCAACCTCCAGGGCTCAAGCGATCCTCCTACCATCTTAGGGTTCAGAGTAGCTGAGACTATAGGTGCATGCCACCACACCCATCTAATTTTTAAATTTTTTGTATAGACCGTATCTCCCTATGTTGTTCAGGCTGGTCTTGAACTGGGCTCAAGCAATTTTTCTGTCCTGGCCTCCCAAAGTGTCGGGATTACAGGTGTGAGCCACCACACCTGGCCGGCAACCACTTTTTTTTTTTTTTTTTTTTTTTTTTTTTTTGAGACAGAGTCTCACTCTTGTTGCCCAGGCTGGAGTACACTGGCAAGATCTCAGCTCACTGCAACCTCTGTCTCCCAAGTAGCTGGGATTACAGGTGCCCACCACCATGCCCAGCTAATTTTTTGTATTTTTAGGAGAGATGGGGTTTCACCATGTTGGCCAGGCTGGTCTTGGACTCCTGACCTCATGTGATCTGCCCTCCTCGGCCTCCCAAACGTGTTGGGATTACAGGTGTGAGCCACCGCGCCTGGCCCCAGCCAGCACACACTTTTAATCACTAAGCAATGCTGCCTTGTTGTCTCCAAAAAGTTGGTAATAATATCTTACATGCCTTCCTAACTTGAAAGGCAGCATATTTGCTGTTTTAAGTTGCAAGAAAATTCTAACTTAAACTACCAGGTATTATTCCAAAGCTCCCCAAAAACTTCAATGGTCATACTTCAACAACTAAGCCATAACAAAACCAAAGGCACCTGAGGCGGAGTCTTACTCTGTTGCCCAGGCTGGAGTGCAGTGGTGTAATCTTGGCTCACTGTAACGTCTGCCTCCTGGGTTCAAGTGATTCTCCTGCCTCAGCCTCCCGAGTAGCTGGGGTTACAGGTATGTTCCACCATGCCCGGCTAATTTTTGTATTTTTAGTAGAGACGCGGTTTCGCTATGTTGGCCAGGCTCGTCTCAAACTCCTGATCTCAGGTGGTCCGCCCGCCTCAGCCTCCCAAAGTGCTAGGATGAACCACCATGCCCGGCCCTGTATTTATTTCTAACTATACATTTAGAAAATATGAACTTAAATCACTGTAATCAACCATTTAATAGTGAAGGACTCTAGAAAACACCTTGTTCATGTGAATCCCTCAGCAACTCTTTCATTACCTGAGTTGTATTTAGTGCTGTGTTCACATTTTTAATGGCTTCTTCAAAATTCTCTTCATCTTCTGGAGCCCCATTTTCATTCTTTAGAATTCCTATTTTAATGGGAAATTGTTAGCAAACAACAGCCCTTTTCTTTTCACTCTTCTGTTCCCCCATTATAAAAATAACCTTGTCAGATTCTGCAGAATATTGAATCTTAAGAAGAAATATGGCTTATCATTAGTCCTTAAAACTATACAAGGCGTGGCTTCTTAACTTCTCCAGAGGGAAAGTGAAATAAAAGCTCATGATGATATCATCTGACAAAGGTGTCAACAGAAATCCAATAAGCACTTGCCTCTAGCAATTTGCTTTTCAAGCTTTATATAGTATTTAATCATATCCCATAATATTACCTTGTCTAATCAAATCTCTGAAGTCTTCTTTTTCTTTATATGTTTTAGGTATTCGTCCATTTGTCTAAATTGGTTAAAAATTTTAAAAATCTAGTTATTAAAAACTCAAAATACAGAAATTGAAAGTCTACAGTGTCCCCCATTCTCTACCTAAGATTTCATCAACAAATATATTTCTCTGTGAAATCAGAGGCTCACTTGATAGAAAACAGACACTGTGACCATTTATCTACATTCATTCCCCCTGCCAGTTTCATAACGATATTCATCAAATTTCATTTTGTTAATTAAAATTATCAGGATCAAAAGATGAACTGCTGGATTTAAATTTAAAAGCATCCATTTGCCCTACCATACAAGCCCATAAGGAAAAAAATTAATCTCCCATTCCCCATCAAGGAAATCCTTTATAAGAAACTGAAAATACAGTTGCATATGAAATTTTTTTTTAAAAGGACATACTTCACTATACCACTGTGCTAAATATTTAGCTATGATCACAATCCATGGAGTATGGCTGTGGTCCTAAAAATGAGAGACAAATAAAAGAAAATATTGGTATTATTAATTCTTCACTGTACCATCTCGTTTTCAACAAATTCAACAATATTTATGATCTCCTAATATATGCAGAGTAATGAATAGAGGAAAATGAACTGAGTTAATAAAAACTGCTTTACAAATTCTTCTAGAGGTAGATACCTAGTATGTCACGTATATACTATGATTGTCCCCCTTATACCAGCAAAACAGTCTCAGAGACTGCCACCCAAAAACACAGCTCAAATCTCAATTTCAGACACCAATCCTAAAGAAAGGAGGATCTGTTCTGTTTTCTGATGAACCAAATAAACAACTGCATGTTAATTAATATGGAAGTAGGCAAAAATACATATACTCTTTAAATTATATTTTTATGTCATTATTTCTATTTGTTTAGAAAAAGGCCATAAAGAGGACTTCTTGGAATTTTTTTGTTTCTGTTTTCTGTTTGAAGATTTTTTATTTTCAATTTTTGTGGGTACTTAGGTATATATATTTATGGGGTACATGCTTTGATACAGGTATGCAATGTGAAGCACATCATGGAGAGGGGTATTTATCCCCTCAAGCGTTTATCCTTTATGTTACAAATAATCCAATTAAACTCTTAATTATTTTAAAACGTATAACTAAGTTGTCATTATTAACTATAGTCACCTTGTTGTGCTTTCAAGGAGTAAATCTTATTCATTCTTTCCAATTATTTTTTTGGTACCCATTAACCATCCCCATCTCCCCACCTGGAATAGGTTAATGTCTAATTTCTTGACCTGGGTAGTGATTACACAGATGTTCAGTATACATACTTTTCTTCAATAAAAAAGTTTTTTAATTTTGGAGAAAAATTAATATGTTGAAAACAAGGTAAAATATTGTTATTGGGTAATCTGGATGACAGGAATATGGAGGTTTATAGGATTTTCCCACTTTGGTGTAATTCAAAAACCTTAGGTTAAAAAAAAAATGTTTTAGGTCTATCTGTAAATGTAAGGTCACACACACTACCAACCTTTTTTTCCATATGATCCAAATCATAGGACTGAAAATGTTCTCTCAGTTCAGGAAATGGCTTATCTAGTCGTAGATCCTCTAATGCATTATCTGGATGAGATTCTATTACTGTGAAACAAAGAATTCAAAAGGATAAATTTAATACTTAAAAAAAAAAAAAGAGAGGATCTTGCTGTATTACCCAGGCTAAAGTGCAGTGGCACAACCATAGCTCACTGCTGAAACTCCTGGGCTGAAGGGATCCTCCCACCTCAGCCTCCTGAGAAGGCGGGACTACAGTCTCATGTCACTGTGCCCAACTAATTTTTTAATTTTTTTGTAGAGATGGGGTCTCACTATGTCACCCAGGCTAGTCTCAAACTCCTGGATTCAAGGGCTCCTCCTGTCTCGGCCTTCCAAAGTTCTTGGATTACAGGTGTGAGCCACCGTGCCCAGCTCAAAAGATAAACTTAATTCTTTGGCAATACTGATGACAATACACTGAATTATAGAAACTTACGAAATCTTTAATTTTTAAATGGGTACAGGGCCCACAGGTTTTTTCACTGTTTTATTAAGGTACGATTTACACATAGTAAAATGCACAAATCTTAAGTCAACTATAAAGTTTTAGTAAAAGTAAAACAAGATTCCTTTAGAACAGAATTTGTTCTAACTGGAAAAGCTCAAAATTGACAAAACCTATGTACAGATAGCAACTAACAACCTATCCTCCCTCCTCTTGTGGTCTTTAATAGACAGCATCACCATCTACCTAGACTCTTCCCCAGAAACCTGATGGTCATCCTTCACTTCTTGCTTCCTTGGCCCCAATATCAGTAACTCCCCACTTCCTAATCTCACTCTGTACACTGCTGTCCACATGAGAGAGTACAGGAGAGTGTATAATTTCAGTGAGTGCTTAGAGGTAGGCCCAGTTTTGTCACTTGCTAACTATGTGACCTTAGGCAAAAAATTTAATCTCTCATTGCCTCAGCATCATCTATAAAAAGCAGATATTAAAGTTCTATAGGCTGTATATCTCTCTTATCCAAAATGCTTGGGACCATAAGTGTTTTGGATTTTGCTGAGATTTTGGTATATTTGCAAATACATATTAGATGAGCTCTCTAACCCAAAAATCTGAAGAAATGTTCCAATGAGTGTTTTCTTTGAATATCGTATCAGTGCTCAAAAAGTTTTGCATTTTGGAGCATTTCTGATTTTGGATTTTTGGATTAATGATGCTCAATCTGTACCTTATAAAGGTTTTGGAAAGAGTAAATGAAATAATTCTTATAAAGGCAGGCACACAACTAGCAATGCCAAACCTTCATTATTATCCACCCCCTCTTCTTCTCTTCCCTAAACTGGAAAAAAGAACACACTGTCTCTTACTTAGGCCACTGGAAATTTCTAACAGCAATCCCTGCCTCCAATCTTTGCCCCTTTAAATCTATTTACTTTCTACTCAACTTCAGAGTGACCCATTTAAAATAAAATGTTTACCCGGTCACTCTCCCACTTTCCACTCTTTTGTCCCCTCCCATCAGTTGACACCACTTTCAACTCTTAAATGGCTTACCACCAGCAGCCAGAGCTTATCCTGACAAGCACTCCCTAACTGCCCACACAGATATTACTCCTCAGTGACACTACCAATACCAATGGCTATCATCACATTAGCAGAGTGCTTGGCTCATAGTAAAAATGCTTTCTTGAGTAAATAAAGAGCATTGTATGAATACTGGATGAAAATTTTATGATGATTAAAGTTTTATAAGTAAAGGGCTTATATCAACCCTCAGCTGATGGAGGTCTGCCTATAAACGACTTTGGTCTCCTACAACAGTTTCCTTGGGAACAGTAGTTATGTAAATGTCTTTGTCGTGTGAAATTGCACCTGAATTGAGAGAACCTAAAGCCTGCATGAGGATGAAATAAAAGATTGGAGGGGCATGGTGCAGTGGCTCACACCTGTAATAACAGTACTTTGGGAGGCCAAGGCGGGTGGATCACCTGAGGTCAGGAGTTCGCGATCAGCCTGGCCAACATGGTGAAACCCTGTCTCTACTAAAAATGCAAAAAATTAGCTGGGCATGGTGGCGGGCACCTGTAATCCCAGTTGGGAGGCTGAGGCAGGAGAATCAGTTGAACCCGGGAGGTGGAGGTTGCAGTAAGCCAAGATTGTGCCATTGTACTCCAGTCTGGGCAACA